CTTTGCCTAATTTTGGAGGTTTTGCCCTTTGTTCATTTTTTTATACTTTCCTGTGTCCAGAACCTTCTCGGGGAGCATCACCCGGTTCAACCGGTTCTTGTTTATAAAGTGCACAAGTAACATTGATTTATAATCCGTGTAAAGTGTATTAAACCATATGTAAAGAAAATATTTAAAAAAAAACAATACTACTTGGATGTTTTAATAAGCATATGGCCGTTTCTTCGAAGATTTTTAACATCAAAATTAATGATTCTATTGTACATGAAAATTGTACGAAAATCTGAATAAAATGGTCTTGAACAAAATACTTAGCTGTCAATTTTATTAGATTTGACGACGATTTTGTGGTTGCCCTACTAATTTTCAATAAAATGTACTGATCAATTTCATTCGTTCTAGGCATTCTATAATTATTTTTTTATCACAAAATAAACAATTTTGTATTCATTTTTCTTATTTATTTTCTTATTTATATATATATATATTTTTTTTTTTTTTTTTATATAAAGTATGTTAGGTATTGTTACATTGAATGTCATCTTTTCTTAAACACCATCAATTACCAGTTGATTATTTTCCCAGAGTATTTTTAACATATTGATGAACCTTCAAATAAAAAACTTAGTCATCATTTTGCTAATTCGTTTCGAATAAAATTTTTGACAAAAACAAACATTGAAAAGAGGTATAACATATTCTAGAACTTTAGAAATTATCTTCTTTATTCTGTACACTTAATAATTTATTAGTAAACTTTCTTCTTTTGTAGAGTATATGCAAAAATGATTGGGTTTTTTATTTGTTTTTTTTTTCTATTAACGAAGCATGTTATAAAAACTAATAGTCATCCAAACCAATTATTATTAAGTTATAATAAAATTAATGTCATCCTGACCTAATCTTCATCATTTTAAAAATAATGTTTATAAAAAGCGTATGATGCTGTTGTTGTTGTTATAGAAGGAGGTTAAATCTAAGGAAGGTCAGACATCATACTTGTGTAATTGAAGAAATCGTTTTGTATTTATCTTCGGGAACAAACTTATTTTTGGGAATAAAAGTGCATTTTTGGAAGTGAAGGAAAAACGATTTAAATATCCTCTAAATTACAAGCTAACAAAAATTCTTTGTAATTTCTTTTTTAGAACAAATATGTTTGCACCATACTTTTCTAAAACCGAGTGGGGTATTTATCGATGCAGTTGGCGAAGTTATTATGTAGTATTTTCGAAAAAAAGAAATAGTTTAAAAAGCTTTTTGCTTTGTTGCATAGTAAATGGTGTTACCCGGAAAGTAGGGGGGCAAATACACATAGCCTTTGGGGGCGAAAATATTTGGGTTAAAATTATATGGTATAGACTTTGTCAAGACGGCAGTTCGTAATCCTTCAATGATAGTTGAGATGTTTAAACAACTCAAACGTTTCATTATCATTTTTACCAAACCAAGTTAAAAAATGTTTAAAAGATTGTTTACTGCACAAAACTTTTAAGAATGTTCTTGATTCTCCTTTATTGTTCTATGCTTTTCTTCATCCTCTATTCTTTTTTGATAGAAATACGTGTAGATAATGAATCTTATAGGTTGATGAAGAGTATCACTTTTTACCTTTAATTTTCTCTTACAATGAAGAATAAGACGCAAACACTTTAATGAATTCTCTTTATTTAGATATAAAGAAATGACAAGTTGTTTCCTACTTGTACAAGCTGCACTCGACAAAACGACAATTATTGGGGATATAGCAGGGCTGTTAAAAAGTAATATTTACTTAGAGTTCTTCTTTTTTCTGCATATTCCACTCAATTTAGAATTATTTTCATCCATGATAACTGAAAAACAAATACTGAAAAAAGGGAAGATAGGTAAGTCATCGAGCAAACCTTTTTTGGAGATTGGAACAAGAATGTGATCGCTTCCTTTTGGCATCATCTTCACGTACGAGGTCTGGTCCATAGTAACATGATTAAGACACCTAGAGCTTTAGGGAGAATTACTTTTAGAAGGAATGAAAGCTTTTTACATTTTGTTTTCTTTATTATTTTTAACATATATTGTACGGATCGCGTTCTCCTTGTCATTTTGTTAATTTTCACAGAGACTCGTTGTTGTAAACATATTTTTATTGATTTGTTCAGTGCATTTTATGGATAGGTTTCGATAGTTTTTTTGTTGTAAACTTGTGCCATGTGAATCACAAAAATGTGAACGTAGAACTGCAGTACTTTTTGACAAACTATCGTATAAAATTCATTCATTTGCGACAGTTTAGAATTCGTTATGATTTTCATGGACTATATCAAAGCTTAGAATTATTATTATAATGCCAAGCCTTGGTGTCTTGGAAAAAAAATGTGAATTTTTTATCATCAGCAAGTTTGTCTTTAGTGTAAGATAATGAAATTTTACATGGAACATGCTGCTTTAACTTTAGACCATTTCCTGTTTGTGAGTTTTGGTTTGTTGCAATTTCTTTACCAAACATTATCAGCGGTGATCAGGCTTATGTTACTCATTGTTTCTGATCTGGATTAGTTTTTTTTCGCATTCATGATATTTTTAGGAGAACTGCATCGTCGAAAAGTGACATTCTAGATACTTGGCATATAAAAATATTGTCCAAAATATTTTGAATTGCCGTTGGGATGAAGGGTACAATTTTAAAATTTTGTTTTTTGTTACTTCTCTTAAAAATGTGAATGTCATTAGTTTCTGGTTTTTGTTTAGGGCTTGTGTACTTTTTATTGCCCCCGGGCATATAGCTAATTGGAACCGTCTGTCCGTCCGTCAGTCTGTCCGTCTATCCGAGGGAAAACATTTTGGGTTTACAGGGGCTATATAAACAGTAAAGAGAACAAAAGAGAAAAATAAGTTCATCCGTGATCAAAGGGTTTAAGGGGCAAGTAGGCCCTTAAGAAAAAAAAGAAAATTTAAACAAAGAAAATAGGCCCCTAAGGCCCAAAATTGTTGGAAGTTCCGTTCCGTTCGTCGTTTCCGTACAAAAGGTTTTAAACCTAGAACGGCAAGGCTTGGGATTTTTTCTTAAGTTTCTACCTGGTACCAATGGCTTTCAAATTTTTACACCACCTTACTTAATCAATACAAAGTACACGAATCTGGGCAAGTTACATTAACCCTCTGGCTTTCATATTTACCAAGGGTTATTGCCCTTTTCAAGCCACTAAACAAAATGAAAATGGTTAACCTAAAAACGGGCCACGTTGGGAAAATCTTAAGCCTCTACATACTAATGGCCCTTTATAATTTTTTCCACACTTCTTTTTTTGATACAAAGTACATGATATTGGGCCAAAGTTTATATAAACGTGCTCCATCCATATTTTCCTTCTAGTTATTTTCCTTTTTTCACTTTGTGAAAAATAGGGCCTTTTGTCGGTTAAAACTCTGTTTCGGCCGCCAAGTTGGATTTATTTAAATTTTTCCAATTGCTTTAATTTCTTTAAATAATATAATTTCATTATTTATAGGGGGATACCTTTTGTGGCCTTTTCTAATTTTTTGGGTGGGAGTAATGGGGTCTTCTAGGGTTAAAGGTCAAAGGTCACTGGGTTTTAAAAAATAAATAAAGCAGTTTTGCTCATACGCCTTTATTTTTTAGTTTGAGTCTTAGTTTAATACAAACATTGCCAAGGGAGGTCCCTCCTTCCTTTGGGTGTAGTAAGGGTTTCATTTTGGGACAAGGGGCATATGTTACCAAATGTCCCAAGGTCACCAAAATTTTCCAAAATAGATTTTTTACAGGTGTTATTTGACCCTTATTGCTATAGGACAGATCGTTTTTTTTTAAAATTTGATAGAAACAATTAACCCTATTGGGAGATAAGGGGCAGTGGGTCAAGGTCACCAAAATGCTTAAATTTCAGATTTTTACACATTTGCTCATAAACCCCCTTTATTAAAGTGACAGATATATTTTTATTTGGTAGGAAGATAACTTTAATGGGTAATTCACTCCTTTTTGATTGGCCGTTAAAGGGGATCAGTGGGTCAATTTGTCATTGTGCTTAAAAAAAGATTTTTTACAGATTTTTGCCCATACAACTTTTATTTAAATTGACCATATGTATTTCATATTTGGTAGGCTGATAACTTTGCATTGGTATTTTTCCTTTGGGGATGGAGAAAGGGGTTAGTTGGGGGTTCAAGGTCACCCAGTGCTTAAAAATAGATTTTTACACTTTTTGCCCATAAACAGGGTTTTTTATTTATTGAAGATGTATTTTCATTTTTTGGTAGGAAGATTAACTGGCATGAAGTTGGAATATTTTTTCAACTTTCAACCAAGTCAGAGCAATGGACTGGCAACTTATAATTTTTCAAATAAACAAAATTGCCATGACTTTGTTCAAGCTAAAAAACCTTTTAACTTTGGGGGTTACAATTTTTTGGCTTTTTTTTTGTCCCAAACGGAGGTGAATGGGTTTAAATTTTTTTTTTTTTGAAATATTGCTTACTTGACAAGAACCTGAGCCGGGGGCATTTTGTGTTTAACGAAACACGTTTTTGTTTTCTTTTGTTTGTTGTTGGTCTTTTGCCTTTGTTTGCGAGGATGTTTTAATTTTATTTATTTATTTTTTTATTTACTTTTTTTTTTATTCATTTTTGGGGAATTAACCTGATTTAGGGGGGAGTGGATGGTCAACAAGTTATTTACATAACCCTCCATTCAATCGACCATTTTTTTTATTTCATTGGGTAGCCCTCGTTAATAATTTAAACAACTCATGTACATGAAAAAAATATTCAAAACTGTGCCAAAATTGATTTTTTTATTTATTCAATTTAGCTATGATTTTACCACTTTAATGAAATGCTAATCAGCCTTGTTCTTTAGTCCAAGAAAGTGTTTTTTGCCTATTTGAAGTGACCGGTTAACCATATCAAGCACCTTAACTGTAAAAATACATCAGAACACTGTTGAACTTTCTTTATTGAACGATATGTGAAAAAATCCTGTACTGAAAAAAAAGAAAAATGCTACACATATATTTTTTCAGAAAAATGTTAAATGCTACATGTATATCTTATACGGAATAGTTGTAAACTGTACATTTATGTGGAAGGCAAAAGGAAAATCCTACATGAAAATAAAATTATATATCAATGACTGAAAAATGAAAAATACCTCTTTGGTTTACAACACCTGCATACCCCACATTCTGGATATTTTGGATCATACTCTTCTGTCCACGTATAGCCTAAGCAATTTTCGCAATATGTTTGTTCATACATTGGCATGCGACTTGCTCCCCCCATTGCTATGATTGCCTTGTCGTCTTCTTCAGTCCAATCGTGACATACTAAAACTATAAAGAAATCAAAGCACTGAAAGCACTGGAGGGTCGCTTGCGCTGACAAATTTATATGACATTAAACTGCTGGTGATCAATTGAAAGGCCAAATTCCCTGTCCTTTTGCAACTTTTTTGAAAAAAAGTCATGTCATATTCAAGTGGAAATGACTGAGTACAAAGGAAAGTGCAATATATTGCCATATGATTTAATTTAGCAAAATTTATCATCCAACAATTACAACACGGTTTATCAAAAGTACTAAAAACCAGCAGACATTTTCACAAAAAATCTTACGATAATTTTTTGTCGTAAGAGAAATCTTACGATAAATCTCCTTTTCACAAAAAATCTTAAGAAAATCTTAAGCGCAAAATTTGTCGTAACTTTACGATAGGTCTTCCCCGTTCGTAAGTGTATTTTTTTTTCTCTCTTAAGGGTAAAATATCATGTATCTCTTACCTAAACTGAATAAAAACAAACCAAACGTTGAAGGGTACAACTAAATATTAAGCAAAACAGTATGCTATAAATAACACAATTGGGGTATAATTATTTTTTCAACAATATACATTTGTGACGTCATGACTTGATGACGTCACGATTGGAGAGGGTTATGAATAGTTTAAAAAAATGTGAACTATACTGTAGACTAGTATTATTGAAAACTTATAATTTGTACAATTGGTGAGTTCGATTTCATTGCCAGCATGTACAAGGGGTACCTTTTTATTTATTAATAACATAGTAGACCTTCTTTCTGAATCTTTTAGATACTTCAATCAAGATATAAATTATATCAGTTTGAATCATTTTTGGGTGATTCTAAATTTTTTGCCGAAACGGTGTCACTCCACCTTGAGTTCTTATTTAAATGAAAATGAAATAAAAATGAAATCGAAATTATTTGTTATATAAATTAAACATAATTATAAGGTAGAAAGTGATTGATTTTTATTTCATTTCTTACAAAAAGACAAATAAATTGCGATTTGTTCACACAAGGGGTCCAAAATTAACAATGTCACTTGTTTTAACATCCATCTTTATACGCTTACTGGGTGTCTAGTTAAAAAGAGTTCAATTCTTTTTTGTATTCAAAGGAATTAAATAGACATATAAGATGTCTATTTTTGAGCCAGAAATATATTATTTACATCAATTCAATTTATTTACTTCATTTTTTATGGTATCTTGAATTCATGTCATTACCAAAACGGTCACAAATAAACTCAATTAGTCGACAGCGATATTATTATTCGTCAATAACTCGTGACGTCATAGAAAAGTTGAAATCGGCGCGAAAATTTGTTTTGGGCGCATGTGACATGCAAATGGCTGACGCTGAAAATTTACCAGGTAAGTTTCAGATTTTTATGCGTAAGTTTTTATCTAGTCATTACCGAATGCTACATAGCAACTAAATTTGTACTATTATTCACAATCGCTCTATATTTGTATATAAAAATATGTGTACGTTGAAAAATATAACGGTAAACATTACACAGTCTGGGCCATTCAGACGCTTATTGAGAAAAATATTTAAAATGTCATTACCGCAACAGTCATTACCGAAAACAGGGTTTTATGCATTGGTAATGACAAAAATGTTTCGGAGATGACTTTTTTAACTAAAGTGTTAATAAATATGCAGATGTCTTGTCATATTGTCTGATAATTTTTTCTTCTTAATATGTTTAGGTGAACTGTTATCAGGATTTAAGAAAAAAGATATAAGTTTTTTCAGAACAAGTTATTGGAGAAGTTTATATGACATATTATGATAATATGTCATAATTGCAAGCAAAAACACATTTTCTATCTAAAAGTATGTGTTTAAATAAAAACCATAGTGATGGTTTGCATCAATCTTGTAAATCAGAAATATTTAGAACAACTGAAACCATTTCAATTGACAATTTTACACCCGTAAAATTAAGTTTCGGTAATGACATGATACTTTCTCTCATTACAGAACACATCAATAGAGTGAAGAAACAGATAGAAATACTGAATGATCAAATTAAAAAGGCAGAATTATTTATCGAACAAATCAAACAAAAGAACCCTGAATCTGTGCAAAACTTTATAGAAGAAATTGAAACTTTACAAGATTGTATAAAACTGAAGAAAAGTGAAATATCGAATTTCAGTGATCAGCTACAGCATTATGAAACATGGCTCTCACAAGTGGAGAACGCGCTACCTTATGGAGAAAACGACAAAGAGAGGACCCAGCAAAACACGTAGCATACAAAGAAAAAGAAAAACAAAGGTACCAAAAGAGAAAAGAATCAGGTCAGCTAAAGTCTATTTCTGAATTGAGTGCCAGAGACCAAAGAAAAAGAAGGAGGAACTGGAAATATAACCAAAGATCTAAACGTAAAAAAAATAAAGAACTAATGAAGGGTTTACAGGCACAATTGTCTCCACCATCTACACCAGATCCGTATAGTTCAACTTCAAGTAACCAATTAAGTGAGTCAAATAGATTAAGAGGTAGAAAAAAAAAAGAATTTAAATCGATCAAAAGCTTACAGAGATCAGTTTAAATTAAGAATTGAGCTAAATAAAGAAAGAAGACTAAAGAATAAATACAAATCAAGGTATTATCGAATGAGAAGAAAGAAAGATGAATCTGACAGTGAAATTGTCTGTTGTTGAGAAACATAAGAAAACGATACAAGAAAGGAGAAACTGCCGAGAAACAACTGATTAAGAATTTACTGTACAGAGAAGCAATTCTTAGAAAATACAAAATCAGCATGCATTATGCCAAACAGAAGACGGGAATAAACGAAATCCGTATCAGAAAGTCACGCACTATTTCTATGACAAAACAAACCATATTGAAGTCTAGTATAGATGATTTCTTTGAAAAAGACGATAACTCTAGAATTAAAGGAGGCAAAAAATACACTATTACACGAAGAAAGATAAAGAAACAAATAAGGCTATTAAATGACAGTATTAAACATCTCCACGAAAAATTTCTTTTTGAAACGGACAAACGGATAAGCTATAGTCTTTTCGCACGAATGAAACCTTTTTGGGTTATAAGAGCATCTGAGAAGGATAGAGTAACATGCCTTTGTAAAACTCACGAAAACCCAACTATGAAAGTCAATAAATTATATGATGAAAAGGTATTAGAAACAAAAGACCTACGCCAACTTATTTCATGTATTACATGTGATACAAAGAACAAATATTGTATGTATAGACAATGCAATCAGTGTAAGCTTAAAGAAATTAGCACAAAACCAGAAACAGAAAACCTCAATTATGGAAAAATAGTTGAATGGAGGGAATGGAAATCTGATGTGATCGAGAAAGAAAAAATATCTGAAAATGGTGAAATTATCAAAACCAAACATAACGTAACAATCAAGAAAACTGAAACAGGCACAATAACGACACTTGTTAATGAACTTCAACAAGATACAACGAGATTAGCAAGACATGAATTCAACATATCTCATCAATACTTGCAGTTGAAGAACTTGAAAGATTCATGCAAAACAAATGAATTAATATTGCATATAGACTTTTCGGAAAATTACCTTTGTAAATACAAGAGTGAAATACAAAGTGTGCACTTTTTGTTCTCCAAGAGACAAATTTCCATACATACCGTGATGGCTTATACTCACCAGAAGCCAAAAGCATTTGCTACAATATCAGACAATACTTCCCATAAAGTAGTTGGAATCTGGGCCCACCTTGAACCAGTTATAAAGCAAATGAAACAACTAAACCCTGGTTTAAACATATTACATTTTATATCTGATGGGCCAACAAGCCAGTACAGGAGTAAGTCCAATTTCTACATGTTTTCCACGAAACTCTTTGACCTCGGATTTTCTGCTGGAACATGGAACTTTATGGAAGCAAGCCATGGAAAGGGGGCCCCCGATGGCATCGGTGCTGTCATCAAAAGAACAGCAGATACTGTTGTGAACACTAAAGGTCAAGATATCACTAAAAAAGCAGATTTGATTGAAGGTATGTATATAAATTCCTAGTTGAATGCACAGGGCAATATAACAAATATTCAGTGATCATACAGATGTGAAAAATGCGTCAACCAGATATAAGAATGGCTTCTAAATTACGGTTTATTACAGTTACATTATTTTTATTTTGTATATTTCATAAGTTATAAATACTTTAAATCGTTCTGCCTGAAGAAAAATCATAGCTTACTTATAGTCTGTAACCACTTCAAGTCATAACGATACATTCGCTATACAAGATTCAATTAGCTTTTTATGATTTAACCTATTAATCGTTATTTTACAGGAATTCGTAAATACGGCACTTCTATAGAACTGATTGAGATTTCTGATAACGACTTTCGTGAAGTGGAAAAGACTGTACCGGCTAATGATGATGTTCCGTCTGTTAAAGATACAATGAAGCTACATCAGGTAATATCGTAATTTCATTATCAGTTTATTTAGTGATAATTCATTAAAATTTTAATTGAAATAGAACAAAATTATACTGTAATTGGACAATAGTTAGTAAATTTAGGAAACAGATCTAAATTTTGAGTGATTTGTTGTAGAATAATGCACAGTTCGAGTTCAAATGTGCTGTAATATAATCACGAAGGCTGGTAGGCCTGAGTGATTAATACAAAACATTTGAACGAAAGAAACGATATAACATTGTCGATATAAATTTAACTTTAATTTGTTTTCAGATTGTTGTTAAGCAGAAAGGAGTTGTGTCATCTCGTGTTTGAGTTGTTTCCGTTCAGAGAATTGCGAATGTTTTAATCTGAAATCTACGACACTTCTGTCACAGGTAATACTTTGCTAAATAGCAATACTTAATTCACAAACCATCAGATTGTAGCTCTTTCAAACTGTCAACAGTCATTTTTGTAGATGATATTCATAAGAAAATTGTAAAACATTTATAGCTTCAGTTTTTGACTTTTATAGATATAACAAGTATAGTTGTTTAATATACCAGAATTGCCTTAATTAGAATTTTTTACAATAAGT